CGTGGCCGGGCCGGACTTGTCGCCCAGCAGACGGATGCCGAGTGCCGCTGTCTCTCTGTCTCTCTCGCACCCACGCGGGACGCCCCCCGTGAGCCCGACAGAGACAGCGCGACGAAAACAGACTGTGCCCTGCGTGCCGCCCTTCATTTCCATGGCAAAAGGGAGGCTAAATCTCGTTTGCGCCGACATGTGCCGAGGCCCCGCCCCGCCCCGCCCCGCAGCTCGCAGCTTGCGCAGCCAGCCTCTCTTCGAGTTGATTGCCGCCACTGGAATGCCGCTGGGGCGGGGCGACCGCGGGGAGACAGACCGGTATTGGCGGTGCACTGCAGGACTGCAGGCGGCCTCGGCCACGAGAGGCGCACACACAGCACCGCTCTCATTAGATCGATTTTTGATTGGAACCTTTGGCGTTTGACGAGCATTTGCTTCAACAGTGTCCTGGAGGTGGCGGCACGCCGCGGCGCTCGCCTTGTGGCTGTGCGGCGAGTGAATGGATTCTAATTCGCCGGCCTCAATACTGAATAACGTGCTGCGAGTGTGTCTGTGTGTGTACGCCTTTCCGCGTCGCTCCGCGCTGCGACTGCTCAACACGACTGTGCAGATTGCTTATTTAAGTTTGTCGGCTGCATCGCCGCCCCAATCTCGTTGCTTTCTTCCCTGCCCCCCCCCCCCCCCCCCCTCCAACGCGTGGCACGCCCCCGCGGCCGTGGCGCCAAGGCACAGCGCAGCGGCCAAGTAAGCATATTGGAAACATCTGCCGGCCAGCCGGCCGTTGGTGCGGAGCGGTGCGGAGCGGACCGGGCAGCCCGGCCGCGCCGGCCGTCGACCAAAGCCACATTTCGCTGCGCGGCTTTGGTCGATATGTTGTTTGGGGAACAATATGCGGCGGGACTGCCGACGGCGGGGCGCTGCGGGGCGCCCTCTGAGGACCTTCAGGACCTCCAGGAACCTCTTTTGGACTTGCAGGACCTCTATGACTAGAGGACCTCGAGGAATTGTAGAACTTCTAGATACTCTACAGCGTCGATGACTTGACCTCCAGGGCCTCCAGGACATCCAGGACCTCCAGGGCCTCCAAGACCTTCACGACCTCCAAGACTTCCAGGACCTCCAACGCCGCACGGTGCACCGGGCCGTGGCCAAGGACGCCCGGGCTCACCTAGCCTGACCTCCCCCTCCCCCACGTGCGACCCCCGCGACTACCCGGACCACCCCGCGGCGCGCAGGGCTGGCAGGGCTGGCAGGCCGCGCCTCGCAGGCCGCGCAGACCGAGCAGGCAGCACATTCGTCATTATCGAGGACAGGCATGGCGTCACCCAATTACATTTGATCCTTATTATCCGTGACAAGCAGCAGGCGGAGCAGGCGGCCTGACAGCTCTAACGAGGGCGGGGCGGGGCGGGGCGGGGCGGGGCGCGAGGGGGAAATGAAGGGAAAACCAAACGAGGCGGCGCGGAGGCGCCGAGCGGCAAGCTTTCAAAACTACGTGATCCCTTTCGCTTCGCCTTACAGGATAACGAGCTCGACTTGAAACCCACTACTACCGGTCGGTTCGGACGCGAGGAGGCGCGGCCTCGGCGGCCTCGGCGGCCTCCAGGAGGAAGGCAACGCGTTCGGCAGGCGAGGCGAACCAGAGTCCAGGCGGAGGAAAACACGGTTTGGTGTCGAGAAAGCTACGACAGGTAAGCACACTAGTAGCGCGCGTTCAGCACGAAGACCCTTGCTCCCTTCCCTTTCCACACCCACGTCGCCGCGTGCTTCTAATCTACCGTTGGTTCTGTTGGCGCCCTTCAAGGCGCGGATGGCGTGGATCCCTCCCCCTCAGCAAACAACGCCCATGCAGAATCAACTTGCCCTGAAAAAAAAAAACAACAACATCGACTAACAGCACTCTTATTAAATCTTATTTCTTAAAGAAGCCGTTCTCGGGCGCGCGCGTACACACACAAGCCTCCCCCCCTCCGACACACACACACACACGCACACACGCGTGAGCACAGAGGCCCACCGCGCTCTGCAGCTTTAGGGAGCGGGGCATACTTTATGGACGAGACGGGGGGCACGTTAGAATGGCTTCAGCACAGCAGTGAGGGCTCCGCCAAGGGCTTCCGCGGGCTCCGAGTCTAGCCCCGCTCTCGCGGTCCACCACGCGCCAGTGCGTTTCAACGCCTTCGCGAAGGCGGTGCGGAATGCGCATACGCCTGCACTGGAAACACCGCCGACGCTTTCTCTGACGCGGCACTGCGTGTACTGCGCACTGGACGACGACGACAACAACAACAACAACAGCAAAAAGGACGTCAGCCGAAAACGCGTCTGGTGCATCAATGACAAACAGCAGGCGGCAGTGCGTCCAAATCGTGACCGGAAAACGGCGGGGAAGCCGTGCGGGAAAGCGGGAAAGCGGAAGAGAAAGCCCTCGGAATGAAACGCGGGGCTCTCGCGCCGCTTAAGACGCGCTTTAATATGCGTGTGTCGGCCTCCTTCTGCCAGCGTGGGCCGTGGGCCAGACGGGCTGGGTTCCGCGGTCCGTGTCGTCGCTCTCTGTCGCACTCACGCGCCGGGCCGGCCGGGCCGCGGGGGTGCGAGAGAGACAGCGCGTATGCCCGGAAAGGTAACGCCCGGAATTAATAATAACGAGGACGGGGCGGCAGCGTGGCGCCGCCGCGGCGGAGGGAAGGCCCACTCGGCCACCTGTGATATTATTGTTTCACTTTTCACGGAATGAGAAATTGCCGGCCTTCTCGCCGACGGATCCGCCAGGGCGGGCCAGGCCGCCACGCTCGAGGCGGAGGCGGGCCAAACCGCGGCGGAGAGCAGAGAGGGAGAGAGAGAGAGGGAGGGAAAGCCCACACGGAGCAATGCCTCACAGTCAAGCGGGACGTCAAGTCACACACTCTGCAAACACGGAGCACGCAGCGGCGGAGCCGGCCGGAGCTCCGCTAGCGGTGTGGATGACTTATTGCAAAGAAACAGTTGGACTATTTGTCACGAAAAAGGAAATGGAGCCGTCAAGAGACTCAAATGAGTGAATATATTTTTTTTTGTGGTGGCGGTGGGCTGCGCATACACCTCGTCCAGCAGGGCGACACCGCGGCCAGGGCGGCGCCAGGGCGAGGGCGGCGAGGCGCCGTGTGTCCTGGCCGCGCTGGCCGTGCTGCCCCTGCTCGTCCTGCCCGCCGCGACAATCGGTGGTTCCATCACTGTCGCCGGCGAACTCATTCATCACAGGGTTGCGGCCCGCACGGTGCCCCGCACGGCGCCCCGCAGCGCCGCGACGCCTACGCAGCGGACAGGCAGGCAGGCAGGCAGGCAGGCAGGCAGGCAAAGTGATTATTGGCAGGCACCTGCCGGGGCGGCGGCCGGGGCAGCCTGACTCGCGGCATGGAGACGAATGGCTGTCGGTACCGCCTTTTGTGCCGTGCGAATACAGCGGCGGCCTTCCCGGCGGCACCTCGCCGGCCGGCCGGAGGCTCTTCGACGGCCAAGGCAGGCCAGGGTCCGTCTATGCAGAAAAGTAGTGTTTCGCAGGGTGGCGAACTTACACCAAACCCTTAAAATTTGACTTACTCTGCCCCAAAACGGGACGAAAGTCGCGACTTTTTATTCGAGTCAACGCTGTTGAACCGTGCGGCGGCTGTCGCGTCTGAGTTCGCCGGGCCGCATTGATTGGAAATCGAGTGACGCTGCCAAAGATAAGGGCAGGCACGTCTAGCTGTTGTTATCGGTGCCGCTCTGGCGGCGAACTGTGAGTGTTTTCCACTGCGAGATGAAGATTGCCATGTCGACTCCGTGGCGCAACGGTAGCGCGTCTGACTCCAGATCAGAAGGTTGCGTGTTCAAATCACGTCGGGGTCATTGGGCAAATCTTTTTTCCCCCGTGACATTAACAGACGTGATATTGTTATCAGAAGGGAAGGAGGGCTTGTTCGTGTATACTTACCAGCCGCCTCGGTAGCGCAGTAGGCAGCGCGTCAGTCTCATAATCTGAAGGTCGTGAGTTCGATCCTCACCCGGGGCACATATTTTTTGGAAGTGCAGCGGCTTCACCCAGCGTGGCGTCCCCCTTGCCGAGTTCCGCAACGCGACGCGTCGCGACGTGGAGGCGTGCGGACGAATTTATTTAAGAACAGGCCCGGCAACCTAATTATTTTCTCATGAGCCTGTCCAAAGTCGCAAGTCCAAGTGAGAGGGGCGCTGCTGCCTGCATTGCCGCCACATTTCATTCCGGTCGCGTTCTGGCGCGTTCTCGCTGGAGTGCGCAAGTAGCCTACATTTAGGGGCGTGCTAAAAGCACCGCTTTTTTGTCTGAATTCGCAGTCGCCTCCTTGGAGCGGAGGAGCTAACCGCGTGGAAGCGGCGTGGAAGCAGCCTGGCGCAGCCCGGCGCAGCCACAGCAGCCTTTCATTATCATTCCGCGACTCGCTTCGCGTGGCTTGGCTTGGCGCGGCGTGGCTCGCTTCGTCCCGACGCAGCGGGCCGCCCAAACGCAAAAGTCGCGAGCGCTCTCCTCAGCTGTGAGATGACATGACAGAGATGAATGGCGCGTCGCAGAGAATAATTCATTTCCGCGGCAAAAGCCGCATTCATCAGCCACCAGTTCTCGGAAGGTACTGATTCACCTGCCAAAGGACCACAATAGGCCAAGGATTTAATTTGTTTTAAATAACAGAAACAGTTGTTTCACCTAGCGAGCCTTTGTTTTTGGAATTCCCTTTCCTAGGATCTGCTGGGAGTGGGGCGACGAAAATGTACTAGACAGTTCTGCGGCATAACTTTTTTTTATTTTTAATATTCCCCGAAGTGACTTTCTCGTGCGAGTGAGTATACTTTTTGGCGGCGCTTGGAGCCAGCCTGCCAGACCGCCAGCGCACCGCGCCGTTCAATCAATCAACGACGGAGAGAAAGTTGCGGGCCGCCACTACTCAAAGAAGGAAAGAGTGGGGAACAAAGTTGCGCCTCGGAAAAGGATTTTGGCGCCTAGTGAAGAAAACGCAGAATGCAAGAGTAAACCGATTTTATTTCAACATTGTGACAATGTGGTGGAAATGCTGCGTAATTTGTTCAGAGATCTATGGCCCGCAGTTCGACTCTTACTTACGAAGGCCCACGCTATATAAGAAAACAGAAGAAAACGCTACGAAAGAGAGCAAGAATACTGTTACCGAAGAGATAGTTTTTGGTTGTCATGCCCGACGGCTAATGTTGCTACGCCTAGTATGGGCAAGCAAATCAGCAAAATTAAACCACTTTCAAACCAAAATATAGAGCTTGACAAGACATAACACCTTCCTTCCGAAAAGAACTCGCAGCTGGCTGCATCACAACACAATTTATTGATTTGATTTAATTTAAGGCCGAAAACAAGCGAATTGTCAAACGTGGTGCCAAATCTGTTTTGTTAGCAGGTGGTCATCAAAGTTTCATAATTTGAGGTTACCCCACTAGAGGACAAACATCAACTTATGGCCAAAGTGACCTAAGAATGACTGTCGCAAGGCTTTATCGAGTGTTTCAGGTGCAATGCGCGCTAAATTTATTTCAGTTAAGTGGAGATTTGCCCAGTTGTCTGAAATTTAAAAAAATATTGACAAAGTGTTCCACAACATGCGTAGAGACTGCAACATTAAGACAGTTCCATTTTACAGTAAAATAACCATGAATAAATTCCCATTGCATCGATGTAGATACGGTTCACTTAACATTTTATGGTAACATGACCATTCACCCGAGTTTTTCGCAGAAAACAAGAAAAGGACCTCGCTGGCAATTCGGTAATCTAGTTGTTACAACAAATCTGACATAAATAATATCATTTTTCATTTATCTACATTAAAACATAGAAGATCTCAGTTCCTTAGAATTACAGATACTACAGATTATACCTTAATCTTTTAGAGACGATGAGGCACAGTATTAGCTCACACAGCCGTATGTTTCAGACTAGATTACACTTTACCACGTCGTTGGCTTTTTTATACTGTGTACGTCTTGCGGTCCGCAGAGCTAGTGTCGGCAGACCAACATTTATACAGTGTGCAACAGCACATGGATGCATTTTGGAGCTGGCACCTATGGCACTTAAGAGCAAGACCAAGAAACTAATAATGCCAGCTAGAAAGGGAAACCATTCTGAATTAAGGTACACTGCGGTCACGGTTTCAACCGATTTCAGCGTAAATTCTTTGTTTTGAATTTCCATCCTTTCGTCGGCGCTGGCACGGTTTTAGTTATTCTAAATTGGACCGGTAAATATGGTGAGGAACTGGTTAGACAATTTCAAGGAACGCGTTGAAGATATTTCGGCCATAAAGGCGATTTGGTTCTTGTTAAGCTGGCTCGCTACGTGGGCACAACGCGTGCAGCCCCTACCACAGTCTAGAAAAACGTGGCCGTCATGAGCGTTGTCAGTATTATTAATGTTATTATTATTATTATTATATTATCACAAACCTCACAAATGCGTTACACTATCGTAAAAACTGTGGTATGATTACTACCGGAGTACATGGTTCCATTTTGTGCGATAACAATGCTAAACGTTTCTACTTGAATTGATTTTCCACTTAATTCTATCTCACCAAGAGGTATGCTAATATCCTTTTCACAGCCACCCGAAGCAGTGATTTAAACCTATTCGATCGTTTCCTCATGTTATTGCAAAACAAAATGAAACTTCAAAAACAATCTAGGATTCATGTCGGGGCGCCTAGCACAATGGGAAGTTGGCCACACCATCGGGGCGGGCGAGACCAGATTCTGAGAGCCATTCCGAATATCAGTGACCTCAACGCGGTTAGTTGCGCGAATGCCCGAGTTACCGCGGTTTACTGCAAGCGGAAGGACATTTTCACCACTTTACAGTCTGGCCAACGTTTAGCTGCGATCGGGAACAAGTACGCCGTATACCGCATTTAAGTGGGGCGGGTAGGTCACCTCGAAGGAGCGAACGACCCTGGTGAGCCGACGGGCCCATCCCGGGAAATCTGATTGGACTAACTCACTTCAGGAAAACATCGCGCCTGTCTTGTAACACAGATAAAGGATATGGTGGGTCCCCGATTCCCAGTGAACGAGGGAAAGATGCAAATGAAAGAATCCAGCTGACACAAAGAGTCGTTTCCCTTCTGGGCTGTACCTCGGGCGGCATACCTCACCACTAGAGAGTGCTACACCTTCATTACAGTGTAACAAATGTACAGGCGGCTGGGCGACAAGGAGCCAAGGTGGCACGAAGGAACCCTGCCTAGACACTACGGAGACGGCTGCACGGTGGCAGCAAGTACAAAATAGAGAAACACATACACACTCATCGTCAACATGTTCGTGTCCATTGGTAACGAGGGAGAAGAGTAGACATTCTTTACAAAAGAAAAATAAAGATACACGGTCGACGCACACACTCACACACTCACGACAGAGTAACGACTCAAACTGAAGCGCTCGAGTTCCGTTGGGCTTCCCCAGTGGTCCGGGCGGTGCGGGCGGTCCGGGCGGTTCGGGCCGGCGCCCCCTCGGAGAGGGGCCTGCCCCGCCTGGCGGCCCTGGCGGCACGGGCTCGGACCGCGGGGGCCCGCGATCAGAGAAACGACTCGTCGGCGTTGCCCACCAGGTGCACGGAGGCCGTGATGACGGCGCCGGGCGAGCCCTGGCCCGAGCCGCGCCGGAAGAACAGGTCGTCCTCAGCCTCGTCGTCGGAGGGCCCCAGGTCGTCGCCCTGCTCCGTCCGCGCGCCGCTCTGCGCGCTCTGCGCCGTGCCCGACGGCGGCGTCACGCGCCCGATCACGCAGTACTGCTGCTGCGGCGCCACGTGGTAGTAGTTCTGCGCCGGCTCCGGGTCGCCGTACTGCGACTGGTAGAACTCCTCGCGCATCATGTGGTTGAGCGAGCCGCAGCGGAAGTACAGGATCTGCTGGAACGGGCGCCGGAAGTCGCGGTTCAGCGTCGCGTAGATGATGGGGTTGAGCAGCGAGTTGGCGTAGCCCAGCCACAGGAACAGCGACGTGACGGACGGCGGGATGGTCGACTGGTCCCTGCAAGCAAAGGCGGCCCGGTCAGGTGCAACAGGGACAAATTCACTCATTTTTCCCTCTCGTACTCTAGAATCGGAGTACAGCATCACCACACCGTGTCGCCTCTCGAGTTCTCCCGCCCCAAAGCACATTGAGAGGTAACCTGTTTTCTGAAAGGCAGCAGCAACGCGCGACGCAGAGACTGGCGGCCCTGGCGGTCGGCGAGAGGCGCCAAAGTCTGCGAGTGCCAAACTCATCTCCATGCGCCCCGCCCCGCCTTCCACCGCACTCTCGCCCCACCCCGACTCCTAGGCCTGCCCCAACATGACCCTCATCACTCAGACCCACGCCGTCACCTCTGCAGGAACCATTTTCGAGGGGTTAGCTTTATGGTTCCCCACGACGAACGCGGCGAATCAAGAGAGGAAGTCCTGACGTCGCCACATGAGTGAATGCCTACCGCTGCAGTGGCTACGGTACGGTGGCTTTGACGCGGTGCCGCGCGCTCTTCGAACACAGGCAGCCAGGCAGGCAGGCAGCCAGGCGGGCGCAGGCAGGCAGGCAGCCAGGCAGCCGCACGGCGCGACGTCTGCTTTGCATTGCACGCCATTTCGGCTGCTTCATTTACATGTCGCCATTAGAGGCGGGAGTGTGCTTTGGCCATGCTTTGGCTATGCTATGGACATGCTTCACCCATGCTTCAGCTATGCGTTGGTCGGTTCAATTAAAACGACAGTCAAATAAATTTAAAAACGTTAAACATTTTTGAAGAAAGCCACCCCTTCTCCTCCTCACGCAAGGCGCTTCGAATTTGGCTGCAGAGCGCGGCAGAGGCGAGGAACCCTTCGGAAGGCTTCCCCTTCTTCGCTCTCAGACCTGTCTGCGTGGATTAGCGGGCTGCCACCGCGGAAAGTAAAACTTATGGTTTTCAGTCAATTTAAATGAAAAGTGTGCCACCGCCGGGCTGGCTGACTGTCTGACTGCCTGGCGCACTGAGGGAACTCATTCCGCGGCTTTGCGGCCTGGCTGGCTGGCTGGCGGCGGGCTGGCCGCGCGGAGGGCGACCCGACCAAGGACGCCGACGCCGCGCTGCGCCACGCCACGCCAGCGAGCTTCCCAATCCCGGAGAGTAATCCCCGTGCTGATCCCGTTTCAAATGGCCGCGCTGCCCGGAGGGCGGAAGGACCGAAGGGCCGAACCACGCGGCAGCCTCATTCCGAACAGGGCCCGCGTCGCTGCGTCCCTCCGCCCCTACGGCCCGCCCCACGGTCGCGAGAGAGACAGCGACGACAGCACTGCGTCCGGCATCGGCATGCAGGCCTACAGTGGGCCAGAAGACCGGTGGAGGTGGTCAAAACTCTAGACGCGTTTTGAGCTCCAGAGTCGCTAAATGGGACTCGAACCGAACGTGTGACCCCACCAATGGATTCCTCGTTCGAAGAGCAATCCATTGGTGGGGTCACACGATCGGTTCGAGTTCCATTTAGCGACTCTGGAGCTCAAAACGCGTCCACCGGTTCCTGGCCCACTGTGAGGGCGACGAAAAGCCGCAGCAACGTATACGCACCTGAGGAACGGTCGCACCAGCGCCAGCACGAAGAACGGCAGCCAGCAGATGATGAAGGCGCTCATGATGATGCCCAGTGTGGTGGACGCCTTCCTCTCCTTGGCCAGGAAGCGCAGCTTGCGCGTGTGCGACACGCCGGCCACGGCGGCCGAGCACGCCGACGAGTGCCTGGCCTTGAGCGGCGAGGAGCCGCCCAGCCCCGACACCACCACCGCCGCCACGCCCTTCTTCTTGCGGCCGGCGCGCTTGGCGTTGTTGTTGGCGCCGCGCGGCGACCGCGACCGCGGCTGCGAGTTGGGCCACGGCCCCAGCATCGGGCACTGCGACTCGTCCGAGCGCCGGCCGCCGTCCGACACCGCCAGGCACCGCGAGGAGCCCAGCTGCCCCGAGCACTGCAACACAAACCAACAGGACAGTCAGACAGTCAGCCCGGCCACGCACGGCCGGTGGGCCGGTAGGCGTAGCACCGCGTAGCACACCGTCAGCGTAACGAGGGGCCACACCAGCGCGTTGTTCCGGCGCGCGCCTCTGCCGAGCGAGAGGCTTGTTATCCTTGGGTCCGCGTTAAAACAGGGTCAGCATTTGCCGCTGTCAGGGACGGCCGGGGTGAGCATTTCCTAGTTCACGCGGGGAATTCCCGATTCCGTTTACGGCCGCCGCCCGCCCGCCCGGCAGGCAGGCAGGCAGGCAGGCAGCCCTTGTCCGGCGGTGCCTCATTTTCAATTAAAAGTTTTCATTGCCGACACCGCGGCGGCGCGGCCTGCCGGCACACCAGGGCGCCGCCAGGGCACAGCGCACCCACATGAAAAAGTCCGGGCGCGTGCTTTCATGCTTTATCCGCCGCCAACACGGAACGCGATGCCCGCTCCTCTGCCGTACAAAAAAATAATAAAAACAACAGCAAAAAAACAATAAAAGGGCGCGTGTCTGGAGGGCAAGGCCGCTCATTTCCCGCGAGGTTTGCAAACTGTGTGACACTGACACGGTCGCCGCCATCGCCCTGCCGTGCCGTGCCGCGCCGCGCCCTGCCGAGCCACACGCTCCTTTTTCCGACGCGCGCGTGCGTGGAATCGCGATGCAGAACGAAAACAGAGAAAATAAAAATGGGCTCGAAAATAATGCGAAACAATTCGGAAACACAACGCCCGCGGTCGGTCGACAAAGGAGGCGGGGCGTTGTGGCGGGAATGGATTTCGGAGAGTGAGCGAGTGAGTGGGAGAGAAAGAGAGCGTGCCCCGTTGGGCCATTTTTTGGTGATGTCCCTTTGAGAGGTTGATGATATCCGACGCGGGGTGGGGTGGGGTGGGGTGGGATCGCGCGAGGCAAGTAAGTCGGTCTAGCCGAGCCGAATGAGTTCAGTCAGCCGAGCCGACGGCAAAGCTAATGTAATGAATGGAGACGGAGCACAGCGGAGCACGGCGAGAGGTCAGGAAGGCGACGGCAGAACCGCCGTGCGCCGCCCTCCGCCCCCCAGTGCCGACGACGAGACCGGTGGCGAACACGTGGCCGCGCAGCTCCACAGTGTGCCAGCTGCGGCGGTCAGAACTCTGTTTAGCTAAACAGCTGGAACCGATCGTGTGACCCCACCAATGGATTCCTCGTTCGGAGAGCAATCCATTGGTGGGGTCACACGTTCGGTTCGAGTCCCCCTTGGCGACTCTGGAGCTCAAAACGCGTCCGGGATTTTGACCGCCTCGACTGTGGGGCTGCGCAGCCCTCCGAGGCACGCGTGCCTGGCGTGCGTGGCGTGCGTGCGGCTCGATGCAGCGGGGCTTTAACGACACACGTGCGGGCGGAGGCCCTCCACGCCGCCAAGCCTTGACCCCGGTCGATAGAGTCGACGTGTCCGCGCGCCGCCACTCCAAGAAGGCGACCAGGAAGCGAGGGCCAGCTCTCTCTCTCGCACCCCCTAAGGCAGGCGCCGCGAGTGCGAGAGAGACGCCTTCACTGCAAGGCTGCCGTTGTTGAGGTTTCGAATGGAGACAGTGCCTGGGCGGCAAGCTGGGAGGGGTGGTGGGGGGCGTTGGCGCGCCGGCCAGGCCGACCGACAGAGCCACCAAACTTTGTCGGGCTGCGTGGCTGCGTGGCGCAGGCCGGCCATTGTCAACAGGCTGAATGCGCCTACGTGCCGTGCCTGCCTTGCCTGCCTTGCCCGCCGTCCGCACTCCGCAGCCCACTGGGAAGGAGGGACTGCTTGTGCGCCGCCCCGGCGTCCGGCCGCGGCGGGGCGGAGGCAGAGGCGGCGGCTTGCACGGTCACCGACCGCCACTGCGACCCCGAGCCCCAACGCCTCAAGGTCGGCGTCAAGGTCGCGGAGGCCAGAGTTCCGGTTGAATAGAGACAGGCGCGCCTTTTCTCCAGCCAAAGTGAATTAATTCCGAGCATCGACCGTCACCCCATTCGGCCCATTTCCCATGCCATTACAACTTGATGGGGCGTTGGGCTAATTTTGAGCTGGGCAAACGTCGGGCTCGAGAGTTGGGCCTCCAAGTCGAACTCTGTTAAAAATGTAGTCCCCTCACACGGGTGCGGGGCCCAGTCGCCGCAACGAGACATTGAACCGAGCCGCAGCGACCGACAAAAACTGCGTCCCGTCGGGAAGGAAAGTTACGCCGGATTGCGCGTAGGCACGCTAACACGTGCACGCCCTCTCTCTCTCTCACACACACACACAAGCACGCAGAACCCTTAATGCACTTGGCGGATCTGTGGTCCCAGATAGTTGCAACACACGGCGGCACTGTACTGCTTCGGCTGCTGATTCAATGCGTCGGAGAGCCCGGCCCCAAAGCCCGCCTAATCCACGCGGCGTTGGGTCGGCAGGGCAGGGCAGGGCAGGGCAGGGCAGGGCCGGCAACCTCCACCTCCAAACTCGCCGGCCGGCCGACCGGTTCGCGCGGGTCCGCGCGCCATGGCGCCATAGAGCTGTTGGTTGGGGAGGACGCCGCAAAGCGCTCTCCGCTCCGCACACCCCGCCCGCTCGCCGGGGCACTAACTTGCCACCCGTTCGGCCGCGCCGCGCGCCCCGCGACCCCAACGACCCCCTCAAGCAGCAACTCGACGCGCGGAATTCAACTTGACTAATAATGCATTATGGGGCCTTCCCCACTTTCCAGTGCCCCAGCAATCAAGGCGGCGTTCAACGAGCCTGAGTGCACGTCGCTCCACTGCGTGCACGAACGCACGTAACGCGTCGATGGCGGCCGCCCCGGCCGAGCTGGCAGCCCCTCGTAAATAATACCACCGCCAATCTCGGCGCGCGGCGGCCGGGGCGGCCGGGGCAGACCGAGCAGGCAGCCGGGGGCTCTCACGGCGGCGCGGTGAAGGGGTGCGAGTACATTGAAAGAGAATACTGGCACTTGAAGCGGAGCGCGCCGGGGGAACCCCCACTCTCCTGCTGCCGCCTGCTGCTCCTCCTCGTCCCGGGGGACCCAAAACCAGCGCGGCGCCGCGCAGCCACGCGCAGCCACGCACCAGGGGGCGCACAAGTGGCACGAAAACGCCTCACTCCCAGACAAGTGGTGTCGACGCCGCCGGCCGCCGGACGATCCGTCAAGGCGGGAAGCCGTGGTCGAGCCAAGGCCAGCAGGCCAGGCCGTGGCGCCCGCAGCCCGCAGGCAGCGCCCAGACAGCAAGCTGGGTCGTGTTTTGTACATTGCGGAAAACGGGCCAATGCATACTCCATCACTGGGAGGGCCCAAGAATTTCGGAGTGTTGGCGGCGGAACTTTTGCGAATCTCACACACAATTTCCTCCCCCTCCCTCTCTCTCCCCCTGTCTGTCGCAAACACACACACATACACACAACACACAGCGGCAATGGTGCCCCTTGTGGACTGGACTCCAGAATCTGCATGCCGCGCAAGAAGCGGCCGGCCAAACTTCGGTCCCAAAAGAATAATGGGGCAGCCAGCCGGTGAGAGCGCCGTGCGCAGCGCGTCAAGTAACTGTGTCGGAAGACTCCACTCCGACAGCGAAAAAAAAAGAAAAACACGAGAAAAACTTCCAACGCCGAACCAAGTCACGAAAAAAAAAGGGCTGAGTGGTTCGCGCTCCAGTACAGCGTGCCACGGCGCTCGACAAAAGTAAACCGGCAGAAATTAACATTCCGAAGTGCGAATTCATTGGGTAGATGGAGCGGCCGCCGGCCGTCGTGAACCTCGTCTCGTCCGCGAGCAAAAGCACGGATATTTGTTTAACAGAAAACGAAAGAAAAACGTTCTTCTCGACAAGGCGGAGCTTTTGCCTGCTCACTTCGCTCGCGTCGGCACTCGTGTGCGACAAATCAGTTTTGCAATGTAGGTAACCCACTCCCCTCCCCCTGGAGACGCTCCGGGACGCTCCGGCCAAGGCTCCGGCATGCCTCTGCCGGGCATGTATGGCTGCTGGTGTCTGGCCCGGTGGCAGTGTGGTGCCCCCGTGGAGAGCTCGTGTGCTTTTAAGGCCCGGAAGCACTCTTCGTCGGCCGGCCGGGCCAGACGCCCAGACCGCACTCTGGCCAGGGGGCGGGCCGGCCGACCGGGCCTGGCCGGGCCCGCTGGTACTAAAACACACTCGAAAATTCAGTGCTGGAGAGCTCTCGTATTACGTCCCACTCCCCACCTCCGGCGCGGCGGCGGCGCGGCGGACGCGCTGATCCATCACGCCACTGGTAAAAACTCGGCCGAAGTGCGGAAGCGCGGGGCGGATGGCAAAAACGCCGCGATGCGTATTCAACGCGAGCAGAGCAGCGAGGCGCCCAAGACACTGGCGCCGTTTTGAGCCAAAACAAAATCAAACACCCTGCAACAACACTGCTCGCATATTTATCACCATCGACCCTCATCCCCGCGGCCCTGCGCAGGGACAGCGGCGGCGGTCGCGGCAGTGTAGCGCGCGATTGGACGGTGCTGGAGGGCTGTAGTTGCAGTGGACTGGAATAACTGAGCACGCCGAGGCGGGGAGGGGGCGTCGCGGCGCGCTCGTCACGGTCGTCACAAAACGTGGCAGGGTCGTCACGGAGTGCACGCCGTGCACGTCCTCCATGCAACATTGTGCGCGCTGCGCTGGGCCGCGCCACCAGAATGGGGAGATGGCGGCCAAGTCAGCAGGCCGAGTCCGAGCGCGAGGTGCCGTCACTCCGTCTCCTTCATGCGGCCCACCCCATGAGTGCGAGGGGGAGACCTCGCGAGCGGAAGCGGCCTGCTGCAGCTTCGCGTTACAACTATGCAGCGCCAGCGAGGCCATGACCGTCCCCAGCGCCGGGGAGGTCGTCCACGAGGTCGTCGAGACTGATGGGCGACTGTACCTTGACGACCGCCGTCCACCGCCCTCTTGTTATGGGCGTCATGGCGGCATCAGACTCCAATTTTATACAAGGCGGAGCGCGCGGCCAAACGACCGCTCGTGAGTT